GGGTTCAAGACATTCATGCGTCATCATGATCAAAGTTTTTTTTCAACTTTTTGGAATCAACTACATGAATCTTGATCCGTCATTCTACTCTATCAAAAGCCACTAGGTAGAAGACATTATATTCCCGAATTTGAGTGCCTAAAAACCTCCAAAGGGAGTGAATAGAGGAAATGCTCCAACTTCAGTTTAAAATTTTTTGATCCTAAAATTACTCCTAAATAGGATTACACCTCCGGAGTGAATGAACGACATGCTCCTGTGTCGCATATAACCATTTGACTTTAATATTTTGGACAAGCACAACTAGCAATACCTACACAGCATGAAAATTTCCAAAATCATGTCCGCCCATTGTTCTTAAATATGGGGTGAAAATGGTTGAAATCCTTTTTTTTTTGGTGAGTCAGTAGGGGAGAGGCCCCTACTTTAATTGGAATTAAGAGCGATGCAAATCGTCAAGCGCTAAACAATTAAGCCTTGACACTTTTCCTGGCTGAAATCCTATTTCATGTATCAAAAGTTCTATTTAAGTAACACAAGGTTATCAATTCATTCTTAGTAAAATGTTAAGGTATCATTGAAAACATTAAACCCCTTGCATTTTGCATTGACCACATTAGTGCTCCCATCTTCCCTAATAGATAGATCTCAAGCACTTTGGGCAGAGCCATGGTCTTTTGAGGTGTTAGAACTTGAATTCAAGCGCCTCATGACACTGTCTCTCAGCAACCTTCTTAGTATCTTGCCTGAGGGTGATTTTGGAATTGAATTGACAAAATGCACCACTCTCACTCTCTTGTAGGAGGCCACATTGGAGGCCACATACTTCATGATCTCCTCTTCACTCTCCTTTGAGGTTGGAGCCATGACAACACAAGCAGCTGGGATTTCGCCAGCTTCTTGATCAGCCACCCTACAAGCAAATACGCCAAAAGTAACATTAGCCGGATTCTTCTTTCCTTTTGGCACAAGTTCAAAACTCTTGACATTGTGGCATTTAGGATTTAGGGTTTCGGGTTTAGAGTAAATGAGGTAACCATATGCCAACATATGTGGGGAGTATATATTTTTTCTTTTTTGAAAGTTAATTTGGGACTCGTTGAGAATAGAACTTTGGATGTCACGTTGTGGCATCCACCCCGCCCTAACTACCTCTACCTGTAGGCTACAGCCCATTCTCATAAGGTGAAGGATAATGCAGACACAAAAAATAAAAGTTTCTATACTTTCTCTACAACATAAAAGATATATACTCCCTCTATTCAACCATCCAAGTTAGATCAAGTGAGCCACCCACTGTTTGATCTAAGATCTATCAGAGTATTTTATTTTTAGTGTTTTTTACAAATTGTATCAATATGATATTTGGTACGCACCATCTTCTAAATGGGACGCACCTAAAAAAAATATTAAAATGAATTTTTTGATAAAATTTAATGACTAAAATGCCTATTGAAACTTTTAGGGGTATTTTGATCATTTTATTTTATTGGAAAATTTGTTTTTATATTTTTTACAAGTGCGAGTTTAAGAGAAGAGTGGACAACCAAAATTTGGTGTCAACGTATTTTGTATTAAAAAAATTTAAAATAAAATAGTATATAGATATGACATTGTGATTTGGGTTATCTCAGCCGTCCATTCAAAGTGGATGGTTGAATAAGAAGAAGTGTATAAGTTTTATGTTATAAAAGAAGCATAAAAAGGTTGCCCTTTGTAGTTGAATCGGGGAAAACAGGGAAAATATATCTTACGCGACAACAGCAGCATCTTCAACTGAAGGATGGGAAAGCAGTATGGCTTCTAACTCAGCAGGAGCCACCTGCTAGCAAATAAATAAGCAAGCATCATTCTTGTTAACTGTGGAAAATGTAATGAGCAAAAAGCACAGTTTTTAAGGTTTAGAATTTTGAAACAGCTGAAAATCTCATCTATATTGCACTTCGCCTCAGGACATTTATATACTTTTGACTTTGAATGAAGCATATTGACAGATAGGATGATTTTATGTAATTACCATTGGTTGATTGGTTAGTCTACACCACATAAATCCATTGGAAAATGCAGTTTCGGTGTAGGAAACTATTATAGTCACCAGATCATTGGTTATGAAATTTGAAGCTTAAAATATAATGCAGATATGGTGAACCTAAGAGCACTTGCAATAGAAGGTTCACGAAATACTTTATTATACAAATCATTTTTAAGGTTTGAAATCCATCCACTTATTAGTATCCATGATTGTCAAGGTCAAAAGGATCAATTTACTATTTTCAAACAATTGAACTACATTTTATATATAATATATGTTTTGAATATTAAATTTTGAATGCTAACTTTGGGGCCAAATTTCCACCTGAAAACCTTTGTATTTGATGAGCTCCTTGATTCGATCCACAATGAACACATGCCCATCATCATCTATGTAACCAACATCACCAGTATGAAGCCAACCTTCAGAGTCTAGGGTCCTTGCTGTCTCCTCTTCATTCTTATAGTAACCTAATAACAAAAATATAAATAATATAATATGTGATAAAAGAGTAGTGGTTTTGGTCAGGTCACGACTTTATGATATTTGGTAAAATGCATCTCATAATCCTGCTGGATGATGCGGATCCGAAGATGATTTGGATGGCCTGCAGATCTATTTTTGCCTTTGATTATGAAATTTAAAGCTCTAAAAATAATACAAATTTGGCAAATCTCTGACATCTGAAATATAGACTAGATAAATTATTATTAGGGTTTGAAATCCATCTTTGTTCGTATCCAAAATTTCTCAAAGGTCCACAAGATCAATTTACATGCTTTTTTAGCATAGAAACTATATTTTGCAAAGAGACATGAAGTGCGACTTCATAAATTGGCGCCCCAACGAAATCCAATTTGAAATGCTTTTCCTTGGATAAATGGACTCCAAGATCTCCAATAGTTTTGCATGTGAACCAGATACTGTACAATTATTCCCTCAGGCAAAAGATTTACTGGGGAAGATATTTTATCCGAAAATTTGGGAACCAACTAAAAATCACTAGATCATCATGTTCAAAAGGAAAAAAAAAAATTGAATTTTGAGTTTTCTAACACTTACATCTGATGTTTAAAAAATTGATCGGTTTCTATTCAATATTGAGACATTATTTTTAGGGAATGAGATTTGCAAAATCTTTTTATTGAATTTGCACACTGGGAGGGCTACATCTTCAAAATATAGGGTCCTAAAAATTTATTAGATTGCTTTTAACTCAATTGAGTAAATGGAGAGTATGCTCCCTCGGGAGCGTACAAAAACTTTTGGGTCAGTAACATGAAGGGCGTGTTTGATAAATGGAAGTTTTTGAAAGGGGAGTTAAATGTCCCACTTCCATGTTTGATATTATTGTGTGGAGGCTGTAAAGTGGAAAGGCGACCTTCCATGCAGCTTTTTTTTAGTATTAAAATGGGTTCATTTTTGCAAAGCCTATCTTCCATAAAAAAAAAAATAATAATAATAATAATACACGAGTAGTCTTCCATAATTTGTGAGAGAGTCTCTTCCACTCCCAAAAAATCCATGTATCAAACACATCCAAAATGAGTGGAATTATGAAATATGAGGGTACCTTTCATAACGCATTGGCTTCTAACACAGAGTTCTCCAATGGTGGTTTTGGGAAGAGAAATCCGCGTGTCCGGGTCAATAAATTTGATTTCGAGGTTTGGTAGAATGAGACCAACTGAGGTCCTCTTTGCGACGCCACCCGCTTCTTCAGATGTGCAGTGACTCATGGTAATGCAACTGTGCTCGGTGAGACCGTACGCCTATCAAGACACTTGCCCTCAAGGCTCCATGGATTAAAAATTATACTCTCTCTCTTTTAAGAGGATTAGGCTTAGCTCCATGGATTAAAAACTATGCTCTCTCTCTCTCAAGGAGAATTAGGCTTAGCTCCATGGATTAAAAACTATGCTCGCTCTCTCTCTCTCTCTCAATGTTTGCAAACTCGGCATGTCTAACTCGAAACCAGCTAGTCAAATTGGAATCAGGCATTGGCTTATCCGGTTTTAGTGGTCTGGCAGGGCATTTAATTTTTTTAAAAAAAAACCATAAAATCTCAAAAAATAAGGGATTTGTTTGTAATGTGTTTTTAAATCTTTTTAATCATTTCAGCAAAAATTGGGAAATGTTTTGGCCATGAATATTTTTTTTTACATTTTTTTCTCATTATTTTTGAATTTTTTTTAAAATATTCCTTAGCACAAATCGAATTTTTTAAATGTATTTTTTTTTACTATTTTTTAATTTCATTTGGATGTGCTTTGTTTACTCACGCTTTAAGTATATTTTTTATTTTTTTTAACACTTTCGAGACCTGTTGGGACCTGCACGATTAAGCCGATTGAATCGGCGGATTTACCGGTTACTCGAACCCATTAGGCTGGTTTCCGAAGCCTGTTCAAATTTTCGCACACTGCTGTCTCTCTCTCACTCACTCACTCACTCATACATGTGGACATATTATGGGCTACGGCGCAAACTTGAACTTGCATTTCTACATAGTCTCTGGCACGCCCATAAGCTAGTAGATGAAATAAAGCGCGGCCAGACACACTCTCTCTCTCTACATGCAGGCTCAAACACGACCACAAGCTAGAAGATGAAATAAATCTCTCTCTCTCTCAAACACGCACCCTAGGCTTAAACACCCCATAAGCTAGAAGATGACCTCTCTGTCTCTCTCTCTCAACATGCTGTCTTGAGCATAGTCGTCTTCAGCGTTTTAAAACTCGGTCGAGTTCTCTCTCATCATCAGTCTTGACCATAGTCGCCTTCAGCATTTTAAAACTCGGCCGAGGCAACTCAGCCTCACCTTATGGACGAGGAGAGTTATGGGCGAGTCAGCTGTACATCGTAGAGTCATCTTCAGCATTTTAAAAGTGGGCCGAGGCAACTCGGCCTCGCCTTATAGATAAGGCGAATTAGCTGTACATTGTATATTTTTTAGTTGAAGTATAATACTTCAATTCTAAGTCATACGTGTGAAAGTGGCAGCCAACTTTTACCACTTTTTCGAAAGGTCTTTTTTTTGCACTTCTAAAAAGCAATTTAGACCCGCGAGAAAGCAGGTCAAGACCCCTCCAAAGTTGTCAATTTTCGCAAAAAGTGATAACCTCATGGTAACAGTGAAAGGTAGGGCATGCTTTCTATGCTACCCCTACAGTATGGAAGTTCTATCATTCTCTTTATCAAAATTGGACGGCTCGATGATAGGGGGAGGATATGACTTCTATGCTGTACAGGAAGCATAAAAATATTTCTCATATATATTAGAGAAAGGTTTTTATGTCTTTTCTATAACATATAAGTTATATCCTCCCCCTACCATCCAGCCGTCCAATTTTGATCAAGAGAGCTACTCATCGTTTGATCTTAGATCCGATATCTCAAAGTATTTTATTTTTAAGATTTTTTTATATATATTGTATGAATATGAAATTTGGTACGTGCCATCTTCACATTGGGGTGTACCTATACAAAATACTAAAAATAATTTTTTGATAAAATATAATGACCTCTTGAAATTTTTCAAGGTATTGTGGTTATTTTAGTTTATTGAAAATAATTTTTATATATTTTTCACTAGTGCGAGTTTCATAGAGGAATAAACATCCAAAATTTGGTATCAAAATAGTTCATAAAAAAAAAAGTGTAGAGACGTGACATTGTGATTGGAGCAATCTTAACCCTCCATTCAGAATGGACGGTTGGATAAATGGAAGGATAGAACTTCTATATTGGAGGGGAAGCATAAAAAGCTTGAAAGGATTATGTGCTTCCTCTACAGCATAGAAATTCTATCCTCCTTTATCATCTCTTTTTTTAAAAAAAAAAATCACCTCCGCCAAGCCAAATACCTTGACCGAGTCGATTTTTTGAACATTGATCTCTTTGAATGGAACACGATCTCTCACTCTAACACACAAGCACTCACCTCTTGGACTTGCACGCCAGGGAACTTCTGCTCAAACACTTGGAGCAAATCAGGGGCAAGGGGAGCAGCGGCCGTCATCACCGATCGGAGCTTCAGCCTTGAAAGATCAAACTCGTCAACAATGGGGTTCTTCACAAGAGACAGCATGATTGGGGGCACAATCGGCGCAAAGTTCACACCATGTGTGATCAGAGCATCAAGGAACAACCTCAGCTCGAACCTCGACATCACCACCACCTTCCCCTTGTTCCTCAATGTTGCACAACAAATGCCTGTGATCCCATAGATGTGGAAGAATGGCATCAGGCCCAGTGTCGTGAACTCGCCGATCATCTCGGGCGTCACCCCGAATAGCGTAGAGCACATGTTGGCGACGAGGTTCCGATGGGTTAGCATCACCCCTTTGGAGGTGCCAGTGGTCCCTGATGAGTAAGGGAGGGCGCAGAGGTCATCTTGGCACACCACCTCGCCTTGTTTAGGGGTAAAATGGTCATTTTTCCAACCCGTAGCGTGGTCAGGGGTAAAATGGATATTTTCATCTGACCCCTTGCTGGTAGGGGCAAATTGGTCATTTTCACTCAAGAGATCTCCCTTGAGGGCAAAATGGTCATTATTCCGCCCTCTTTTGAGCAACTCTTCCCATGGTATGGTGTTTTCAATGGGATCGCCTCCTACTATAAGAACTGGTATGCCTAGGTCCCTCACCTTCTCATAGCAGGGGCCATTGGTGACTATGAGCTTGGCCCCTGAGTCCTCAACCTGCTTCCGGACCTCCGACGGGTGCGCGAGTGGGTTCGACCCCGAGAAGACACCACCGGCTGACATGACCCCTAGGGCAATGATCGGGTACTCGGCTATGTTCGGGAGGAGCACAATTACCACACTGCCCTTCACCATGCCCATGCCCTTGAGGCCATTGCCGAAGTCTCTCACTCCATCTACAACTTGGCGATACGTGAACTCTTTTCCTCCGATTGCTTCGACTATGGCCACCTTTTCTTCATATTTCTCCCAATTCTCAAGGACAAATTCCGGCAAAGTGAGGTATGGCACCGGAACTGCTGGAAATTTGCTGGTAAAGATATGTTCTCCTCCATTATCTCTCTCAAGGGGTTCTAGGTGCTGTTTTTCTCTGTGCAGGAGTGTTATGTTGTTGGCCATGCTGGGATTGTTACGTTGGCAATGTGGGGAAGGAGGGCTCTTAAAGAGGTTGAGAGGGGCAAAATTGTCAATTATGCGTCATGCGGGGGGTAACCTTTGAGTTGTGGTCCAGCAGTATTGTTCGTGCGGGGTTGGTTGAATCATGAAATTAGAGCTTTTTGCACTTTTCCCCATTTTCCATAATATGGGTGAGGATTCACTTGTTTGTTGGAAAGACTTGGTTGAATCATGTGAAACTTGCTTACGGCACTAATATTATTATTTGGGGGTAGAATCCTATGGGATCTGTATTTTTATTATAAGGAGACAACAAGTACTAAATTTTATGGCTTGCAGAAAAAAAAAATTTTGGAAATTTTGAGTCTAATCAATGGTACTCTTACAACCATCTGATTTGATTCTCACGTACAAAAGTGATTGTGACTTCCACCATAAATGATCTCTTTGTATACTCTTCCTATTTGAAAGGTTTTACATTCCAACATCGGCGTACTATCTATTTACTCCCTCTTATTAAACAAGACGCGGTAGTGATGGGCAAGCTTTCTATCCTTCCCCTTTACTGCATAAAATTTATATACTTCCCCCTATCCAACCGGCTGAGATGAACCCCATCACAATGTCACGTTTCTAAAATATTTTATTTTAAATTTTTTTCTATAAAATATTTTTTAACACCAAATTTTGAAAGTCCACTCCTCCCTTAAACTCGTACTAGCAAAAAAAAAAAAATCTCATCAAAATAAAATAACCAAAATACCCCTAACAATTTCAAGGGGTATTTTGGTTATTATATTTTATCGAAAAATATTTTAAATATTTTTTGTAGGTGCACCCCATTGAGAAGATAGCACGTACCAAATTTCATATTCATACAATTTATATAATATAATTAAAAATATAATAATCTGATGTGTCAGATCTAGATCAAACAGTGAATCGCTCACTTGATCTAAATTAGACGGCTGGATGGAGGAAAGTATATATCTTCTATGCTAGAGGGAAAGTAAAGAAACCTTTCTTGGTAAAGGTAAAGTATACTATAATTATAAGGATGAAAAAAGTTTCATAAGACATATTTGCCATAATCCATCATAAAAATCATGATAATTTCTAAAAAGGTAAACTAACTCTCTTTCACATACACATTATTTATGGGGCATGATATCACACGAAAAGTACAGTGTGGTGCCTTTTCAAATCTTGTTTGAAACTAAACAGAATTATAGTATATAGACCTGATCGACTTATGCGGACCTGATCGATTTATGTGGCTTTCCACGAGCTCTGCACATCGGGACCATCCATTCTATATGTATATTGGTTAAATGTGATCCCACCCCATGTCTTGTTTCATCTGACCGCGCATGGAAATGGGTAGTTAGATGCAATGCCGTAGGGTAGTCCACATAAACCTCACCTGTGATCAGTACCCTTGCTCCATCCCCATTCTGACATGGCTACAGATTATATATTCCTCTTCACCATCCTTCTAAAGTTGTAATTCAAACCAATGTCTCAAAAATCGTCGGTCTGACCGCGGACAGCTACGGATGGGGAGGAGGGCAATTCAGGGCCAAAAAACCCTGGAACCACTGTAGTTTTACAGTGTTCCATTATTTCTTTTCTTTTTTAAGTTTCACTGTTGAATATTTCTGGCCCCATTCAGGTGAGGCCCGACTCAGGACTTGCCTGAGTTGGACCGGGCCCAATCAATAAACAATGATCCAAACCATATAAAATTTTACAGCTTCATGCTATTCAAATACATAACCTTTCACATGAACATCTTATAAAAGTGAACAAAGTTGTCATTACTGTAGTTGAAAATTTGAAAACTGAACTTCAAAAAGGCCATATTGCGCGTACCCAATATTTTACACCAGAAAAACGACCAAACACGAAATTTGGAAGCCTCATATTTATTTTATTAAGGTTGAAGTTCAGATTTGCCGAAAATTTTAAATCAGGCAAAATTCATTATATATATTTACTCAAGAGTTGTGTGGGATTTAAATAAACAAAAATAAAGATGAAACAATTGACAATAAATAATCATGATAAGGCCGCCGGAAATATTGGCAATCGGCCATGGCTTCCAGATATCTCCACCGGAACATGATAGCACCTAAAAATATTTATTGAAATAAAAAGTGGGTAACCGTTTTGTGACAGGTACAAATATCAGAGAACTAAGGAAAAATAAATTGATATCAGAGATTATTGAGTTACCTCCATATATGTGTGTGCGCCACAATCAGATGATAGTTTTGAATGATAAACCTCACTAGTGCCGTCTCATTTCCCGGAAAATGTTCGAGACCTTAGGTGATAATTTGGGTAGAAATTTAAACAACTGCATGAAGATGAAGCAATATCAGGATCCTATCAATTTTTGGTTGAACATAGATATGTGTTTCAACTTATCAAATTAAGCGTACATGCATGCAAGCCTCCATACATATGCATACATGTAAATCTACATACACACAAGACCATGGCATGAATGCCCTTGTGCAGTGATATAGCTTGCTCTGTCTCAACCACAAAAGTTCCATTTAACCCAAATGTCAACAATTCGTAATACATAAATATACACCAAAACACACACACACACACACACACACACACATAAATATACAATACACATGCACATGTGAACTGTGTGAATGCATGCATCTGTGTGCATGTGCCACATATACATCCGCACATGGGTATATCCATGGATCTGCATGCGCATGCATTCACATGCAAATGTTCATTGGATACATATCAATGAGAAAGGTCTCAAGAACCAGGATCAGTTTTATGTCCATTTAACTCATGTAAAAATGCTCTGGTATGTACCCTAAGCTGTTATTTTCTGTATTATTTTCAGGCCGTTATTTGCTGTATTATTTTCAGATCAGCTCTCAACATTTTCTTTTCCATTTCTTTACATGACAACCAAGAACATATAGAAAAAAAATAAAAAATCGGACCACAAAATCCAGTAGTCCAAATAACAGCCAAGGCACCCCCCATGCTCCACTAAAAGTCTTCATCCAACAGTGGTTTAGCCTAGAATAACATATATGTGCATGAATGGCCATGATGTTATGTGGGGTTGGTTCAATTACTGATGTGGAATGATATGACATATAGATGGCTTACCCAAAGTTTCACACAAGCGTCAATAACAACTGGAACCACGGATATGAAAATGGTTATGGCAGATTGATCCACCTCAAGTCCATAATGCTCAAGAATGATTTCAATCAAAGTTTGCCAGCCAGACTCAGAATGATACCTGCAATCATGAATATCACAAAAAAAGTCTCAAAATAACAAAAATATAATAACATATGTTGCTCTTTTGGGTCAACTAGAATGTAAAATTGAAATGTCACATTTTCCAAGAGTTACAGAAATCATGTTCCTTTAGCAAATGTGAAGCTTGGAGAAAAATATAGAGAAATACTGAAGAATAAAAAAATTTACCCCAAAAAAATGTCTGTTACAAGAATAATAAGAAATGCCTTCCCAGTATCAGATACATTCTTGAATATTTTATATCCTGTAAATTTCATCAAAGCAACCTGAAATGAAAGAGAATATTCAACTAAGGAAAGAATCAAGCATGTAGGAAAATTTTAGTGGTGATTTCATAATATTAGAAAAGACTAAAAAGGACAAAAATGGTTGCAATGCATAACAATTTTTTGAGAAGCAGGAACAAATCCGAAAACCCCAAAAGGCATGGAGACTTAAAAGTGCTCAATGCATGAAGAAAACCTAATATCTATTTCAATCACAGAAAAAGACAGATTAGAGTACTCACTTTGCTCTGATTGAAGAAAATAAGAACAAATAATGCTATTCCAAAAACCATATCCGACCAGATATTAGCAAATGCTTTTCGGTTTTCTAACCTCCATTCATCTCTCAGTTCTAACCTGGTAAAATAAGAGGAATAAAACTTTGAATTTTGTTAGTCCCCTTCTTCCAAGAAGAACAGCCATATGCAAGTAGTGACATGTTTAGTAAGTTAGGAAAAGAATTGCCCAATTGGATGTTGTGCACATGCTACATGCACATGACCATTAAAGATCGCCATTCAAACAAGGAAATCATTTAAAACAATAAAATTTTGATACACAATTTTTTTTCTGACAGATAACATTGAATCATACTTAATAAAAGACAATTGCGTTTAGGCATAACAACCTAAAAGACCTATTGGATCGAATAGCAAAATGCATGTAAATGCTTCGTGTTCGAACAGTGAGAAAGAGCTCCCATCAAGTCCAATAAGCATAAATAGTCTCTATAACAAAAGCTTGTACTGTAACAATCGAGAAAAGAATTTGTGTTCCCTTTATACATGTTTTGAAAGTCGGAGTGCCGGGTCAAACCAGTCACCCACTGGTTCCAAGTTAAAGCGGCCGAGTCGGTGACTCGTCTCGGCTGACCCCACAAACTTTATTAATGATAATAAAATGATAATAATAATAATCACAATAATAATAATGTAAGCAAAATATGTAACGTTTAAAATGATTAACTAAAGTTTGGGAACTTTAAACAATCTAAAACAATATTTTTATAATAAAAACAATTTTTAATAAAAATTTTAGGCCTATATGGCTTAGTCCAGAGTAGCGGAAAAATCGGGTGGGCTATAAGAGTATTCTGGCACTTTTTCCTTTATGTATACATCTTATCTATGTTCATGATGGGTTTGTGTACTTGCTTATGATTAGTTTATCATAATATGCATTTTTCTTTGAGAACGCATAGCATGTATTTGGTTAGTTGAGACAATATGATCAAGCTCATTAAAAAGAATATAAGGTTGCTAATATAGATGGAAATAAAAATTCAACACCAATATGTAAGTATTAATTTGACTAATGACCAATCATTAGATTTTTCTTAATGAGCAATAATCAATCACTTCTGGAGCCCCTTGTTACGAATTACAGTTTGTTAGTAGGTGGAGCAAAGATGTAATAATAAAAATCATCTTCAACTTGCCATATTCAGTGGAGCAAAGAAAGAATCTTAACGATCATCTTACGCTTTGTGCCGCAGCTCGAACCAAATTTCCTCATCAGAAAGAGGAGGTGATTTACCAATCTCTGCTTCAAAACGGTATCTCGCCTTCTCAATCTTTAGGGTCTTAATCATCTCAAGTTTTTGAGATTTCCTCACATCAAGCAACGCAGCAGCAAGAGGCACTTTCTCCACATACCTGTTCATATGCAAGGTCAGATAAAAGACGGATTTTTTAACCATGAAAACCCATTGGAATTGAAACTAATGGGTACATTAGGCACATTTCAGTCTAAAGCAATCATGGTGCAGAATTGGTCATCTGGGGCGTCAACCGAATGAGGAATAGTTTCCATCGAAGTTTTTAGACTTGGCTTGGACCATGGACTAGGCCCTGGCTAAAGACGAGTAACTTGGTCGAGTCGAAGTGGACTCGGCCAAATCATGTACAAGGCCAAAAATCCCTAAAAAATTTAAAAAAAATTTCAAAAAATGCAAAAAAATAAAATAAAACTTTAAAAGTGAAACAAAACTAGAAACTAACTTAAGGAATCCAAAATAAGCCAAATAAAAAAGGATTTAGAAAAAAATTGATTTTCAGTTGGAGGCATTTCAGAAAATCCACAAAAAAAGGAAAATACAAAAATATGGTATTTCACAATAAAAAGTCACAAATCAGTGCAGAACACATCCAAATTGCATGCATAATTATTATACATCAATCCTAAAATTTTATGTTTTTTTAGGCTTTCTTTTAATTTTTAATATACCCGAGTTGTACTCGGGTACTCAGCTTGGCCGGGGCCGAGTCCGAGTAACTCGGGCGAGTCCGAAAGGAATCCACTGAGTAGTCAAAGACTTGTTTCCATTTTTGTGTGAATTTTTTAAACTTTTAATCAAAGGAATCAAGAATGGTATAGGAGAGCCATGCTTCCTTCCCCCATTGATTATTTTCACAAACTGGACTTTCAGATAAGCATTCCTAACAATTATTTGGTAAGACTGCAATATAATCCAATTAACACAACTCTATAGGTGACATTGAAGTCCTTAGGAACTGAAATTTTCGCAATTAAGTGGTCATTACTTAGTAGTCAAGAGATATTGTGATTAGCTCTCATAAATGAAAAATATACCTGTCTACAAATGGCATCAAAACATAATCATGAACCACAAAATCCAAAGCACATGGTACAAGCACCAGCACTGCCAAAAATACTGCCTGCAAAGACAAGTATAGTAAATCCAACTGAAAACAATGACTACTTCTGTTCCATATGAACCCAATATTTGTGTGTGTTTTAAGATCAATTGCATGTAACATATCAGAAGAATAAAGATCCTTCTAAATGGATATACAAATTGAAGGTATAGACATAATTCAACACAATCTTCAGGGTCAAAGATAAATGAATAGAGTTCTGAAAGATAACAAAGGAGTGTGGTTTTTCGTTTATAAGTAGGACTTTAAAACCATTATCGAGATAAGGAAATATACAGTGTAGCAAGAAAAAAAATTAAGAAAAATCCGGAAAAATAAATATAGCATATAGCTCCTTGAAAACCCATATGATGCACTGGTTTGGAGCTCCTAGTCACACAACTTAGGTTGCACTTTTAATCTCTCACTTTCTACTGGAAACAGAGAATGAACTATTAGTGTCTTTGTGCATGTCCATAGATTTTATATGTGTTAGTATTAACCCCAGGTGGATGGCTCACAAACTTTCATCTTTATTGGCAATGATCTTGATAAATCTCTCTTCCAAATCTTTGGAAGAGTAACAAACATTACAAATGTAGTGGGCTTTACTATGGGAGTCTCTAGAGGGTTGAGGTTTCTCAATTCCTCAAAACATCTCAACCCTCAATTGATTCTTGGTTGGGAACATGTCAAATGACAAGCAGTGGTCAGACACCACTTCAATCCCATTTGCATGCCACCCACGAATATGGAGAACTATAAATAGTGCATTCAAAATACACTTAAGAAACCTCCTGTAAAGCAAGATTTATCAGATATATCTTTCATAAGAAGTTTCCCTTGCAAAATATAAATTCAGGCATTCCTACGAGAATATCTAATTCCTTACAAATCAAAGAAATTCACTTGCAAAGCTGCAATACATTGAGTTCTCGCAAAAACAATCAGGTATTGAACAATGTAGTGTGAAGGTCACCATTGCTTACCGAACTTCTTGAAGCATAGCGAAAAACTCTATCTTCATAAAGAATTTCATCATCATCGTCATCGGTTCCTATTACCAAATCCCTAATATTTTCAGCCACACCCTTTTGGCGCACTAAATCGCTCGAATCTAAAGTATCTGCTCCTCCATTGTTGTTGTCTTCCAAACCATCCTCCCAATTTCCATGCTTAAAAGAAGAAGAAGAAGAAGAGAGAAGAAGAAGAATGATGAGTACCCATGGTTTCTCCTTGAACCCAATCTTCCCAGTCTCTGTTTTCCTCATGTTCAACACTCTCTTGAGCTTCTCTCAACTCTGAAATGGCTTCAGCTCTCCTTTTCCAAGCCTCAAACTTCTCTTTCTCTGAAATTTCATCGTCACTCTTTTCCCCATCTTGCCCCTCAATTTCACCAATGTCATCCTTGAGCCCAAACCAGTTCCCTTCTTCGTCTATGAAGAATTTCTGCCACCATGTTCTCGTCTTAGTCTTCCTATGCTTAGCATTTGGAACAGTTTTTTGACCTCTTGTCTTTTTATTGTAAAATGAAGCTCGAGAATGCCAGAAGAGGCGGGAACAATAATTCCTATGTGAATTTTCTCTGGAAAATTTCTCGTCAAATGGCACGGAAGTCCAACAAATGACCATGGAATTGCTCATTAAGAACATGAACAAAAGGCCACATTTTCCAACCCAGAGACGAATTCATGGAAACCCATTTGAAGTCTCACAACCAGAAGCTTTTTAATGATGAAATAAGTCCTGGTTCCCAAAAACTACTTGATTTTTCCATTGTAAAGATGGACACATAACCCACAACTGATACCCCAAAACCCCACTAAGAAACCATGAATAATTCAGAGAATGAGCTGGGCCAGCAAATGCAGATAAATGGACGTTTAGAGAGCATCTACCTGGTAATTTACTTCTCTTTTTAGGTGGTTTTCTTGCATTTCCTTCTCATATAACCACGTAAGATCCTGTTTGCGTTTCACTCTGGAAAATCTAGGGTTTACTGTTCTAAAGTTCCTAGAAGAATCTAGGGTTTTCTTATCCACTGCTGAGAAATTTCAGCTGTGAACGCAAGCTGACAGTTCCGAATGAAAGGGAAGGTGGTGTGGATAACGGTTTAAATCGACTGAAACTTTTAGTTCTAGATAGAGTGTAATGATTACTTACGATGCCCTTATCTTATGCCAGAATTATCTTTTTATTCTTTTATAAAATTCAACAAATTTTTCGACAAAGAGACCATTTTCCTACCGCCTTTTAAATTTCAAAATTGACGACTGAAAATTGTCTACAAAGATACCCTTTCTGTATCACGATCCTTCCTGTCTTTTGAATTTCAAAATAGGCCATTGTAAAAGTATCATTAAATAGATTTTCGGACTTTAGGACTCGCTCCAAACCATCAAATTTAATATCTAATGTTTGGCCCAGTTGTGACCCCTTTTTGTTAAAGATAAATAATCTTTTTGTAGACAATACCTCTAATAAAAAATATAAATTACGAAATCAAGCTAATCCGATCTTAAAAACTAGTCTTTGAATTCCTGGATTAGTCACCGGTTGGAAAGATATGGCCAATTCATCATTCATGAAGAAGTGGACCATTCTCTAGTGTGGTAACTCTTCTGAATAAAATAACTAAAAAAACAAAAATAATAAAACTTAAAATGAATGTGCATGGGTAGTGGGTTCCCTAATAACACTAGGCAGGACACTCCGAACTTAGATTGAATACAATTCCGAACAAGATTTGGCTTATCTACCTACTAATTCCAATCCAGATTAGCGACTCTCAATCCAGCTGGGAATAATTGAAATATGATTTACATTTCCCACTCAAAAGGGCGAGGGACTAAGGGCAAAATGGCAATTATTGTAGCTGCTCTATTTGGATGCGTTTTTGCCACGTATAATCTCTTTGACTCGATAAGGAAAATCGCTCCCAACTGCAAATTACACCTTACACAGGAGTTGTAAGACGCTGTTCTAGTACGGCTGCAGCCTGGCAAAAATTGGTTAAGACCACACTTCAGAAACCTCCCCAAAAGTTGCATGTTTGGCTTCATAAAGATTTAACAGAAAGTTGTATCATACAGCGGGGACCGCATTTTACATATATTGGGGTTCCTGAGGTATAAAACATCCATTTTAAAGATAGATGTAGACAGGTGGTCCATTTAAAAATGATTGAAACTAACTATCCAAATATTTTTTAATAGAATTATTACTTATATTTTTTAAATTAATTTATTTTTCATATTCATGATCTCCTTGTTAGATTTTTTTAGGCGTGACCCATTTTTACATACGAATTATGTATTAAGATATATAATTTTTAAGACTTCAAAACCATTTTCTTTCTTAGTCTTATTATTGTTCAAGGTTAGGATGATTGTTTGGCAAATTTTTTGATGCCATATATATTCCAATGAAATTTGAGGTACGGTTTTAAAATATATATATATATATATATTTTTGTGAGATAACAAGCTTTGCGAGCGCAAGAGCTTGCTAACCCACGAATGTGTCCAAAGATGGACATTATGTAAAGTACTCCGAATGAAATATTAGGTGGATGGTGTAAAAAAAACTCCCCACGAAAAAGGCATCTCTTAAATTTTAATTTTTTTATTTTTTATATGTATGATCACCTTGGCTTAGATTAGGAAACATAAAAAAAAGGATGAAAAAAAAAACTTTCGAATGACTTTTTAAGGTGTGTTTGATAGTAAGGAGGGGCTTTTGGAAGTTAAAAACCTCTAAACTTTCGTGTTTGATAAGAAATGAGAATCCAAAATAAAAACTTTTAATCTTCCTACACTCTTCTGTAAACAAAAACAGTTCCGACCCCAAAGTCGGACCTCAAATCGGAAGTTCGTCTCCTTGGGTAACCCTAGCGTCCTCTTTTCTCGTCTTCGCCGGTGAGCACCCCTCTCTTTGCAGCTTCCCATCTTCGCCGCTGAGCACCCCTCTCTTCGCAGCTTCCCATCTTCGCCGCTGAGAAATCCAGACATACAAAGTAACCCCCATTAAATGCCCACGCTCCTCTCTCTCTCTCTCTACTAAAATTTCTCTTTCTCTCTCATGGTTTCCATTTGCTCACACCGCATGTGCCAGAAGAAGCTTGCTCCAGTGACTAGGGTTGTTTTCTGTTTCCTCCGTTAAGATCACGGTAAGAACTCTCTCTCTTTCTCCTTTTTTGCTTGCTCTGTTTTTGTTTTTTGTTTTATCCCTCTGCCTTACTTTTTGCCCTAGAAATTCTGGTTTCTCAATTGTGTTTTTTGATGGATTTCTGCACTTTCCGTGCACGTTCTGCAGTATAGAGTGCTGACCTGAAATTTTGCTTTTGGCATTTTAGGGCTCTTGAGGTTTTGTGCCCTTTGGTGGCAAAGTGATTGCTTTCCTGCTTTGTTGATTTGTTATTTTTATGTAAGTTAATCACCTTGCTTCTCATGTTGCTTTGAAATTTTTGGTTATAGTTCATTGCATGTTTTTGAACTAATTTGATTGTTTCACGGTGTAATTTTCCTTGCCAGTCCTCATTTTCTTCCAATACTTGGATTTTTTGTTGTTTTGTTTACACTTTTTTTTTTTACCAACTCCTTGGTTCGCTTCAAATTGGGTGAGAAAATACGTTCATGGAAGGAGAACCTAGCTCCTTTCAATTTTTATTTTTAATTTTGATGAAACTGCTGAATTAATAAAGAAAATGGTTTTTTATGTTTGGATTCTTTCTGTGTATCTTTATACTAAATCAATTCGGGGTTTATTTGCTCAAATTTAAATCAACTTATAATTTAAGCAGATGGTTTGTGCACAAAAAAGTCAGAAATGTAATTTCTTCAACTATGATATGGCCCGATTGATTCAGGGGAATTTGTTCCAAAACATGGCTACTATATGACGGTTTTGGACTGCCTATAACTAAAACAAAGCAAAACAATTGATATCCATTTTAAAGCTTATTTAGACCAATCACATTCATATCTATCTAGTTCCATGACATTGGGATTGAATTTTTTTCAGTGGAATCTAGTCTGTGAAAAGCTCATTTTCACAGAAGAAAGGCTATAGTCATCGCATGTATCTCGGTGGCCAAAAATTGATGCCCTGAAGCCTTTTTCTTGATCACCTAACTTTTTTGTTTTGATGCATATAGGTCACTTGGACCATCTAATTTGTGGTATCCTTTTGGATTTTAGATTTTTTGGGGTTCTTTACCTACATTTCATAGTTCATAGGGTTTGATAGTAAAATTATTATATTATTGTTCCATTACATTCTTGCATCTGGTTTTTTTTTTTTTTTCATTAATTTATTTTAATGTTAAACCTATTTATTGTTATCTGCAGCTTACAATATAAGTCATTATGTATATGTAACAGTATGATCTTCGATTTGGAGCCCATGTATATGTAACAATATGATCTTCGATTTGAAATTTGGAGCCCATGTATATATAATACATGTAACGATATGATCTTTGATTTGAAATTCGGAACCCATGTATATGTAACAGTATGATCTTCGATTCTTTCTCCATTTTCTTGAGATGGTGGGTACCTCCTTCATGTTGGAAGAATGGTACTTGTGGTTGAATTCTGTATTGGGGTGTTGGTTTTTATATTGTTCATGTGTATGCTGATTTTTGTGCAATTACGCGCATGATGAACTGGTCAATTGTACTACTTTCAGTTTTGCACATGCACTTACCATTTTGCATATCTAATAATTATATTATCACTATTTTGTGTACAATTTCAGGCCAAACTTACAGAAGTGGCACAAGATCTGGGCAGAGGAATTCATATATTCACAAACTCGGCTTTTATACCATTTGATGGGACCTTGACTTCTATACCATTTTTTTTGGTATGGATTATAGGCCGGTTTGGAAACCAAATTGTATTTTTATTATGTGGTGTTAGTGGTGGACATATGACAAATGTAACTCTTGCCAAGGGGATAAAAACCTGTCTTTTCTCTAATCCAATATAGATACCTAGTTCTTCTTTAACTTTTTAAGAGATTATTAAACACATAAATCAAGAACTTCTTAACTTCCCGAGAGGTTATCAAGCACAGAAACCAGAAACTTCTTAAGTTCACAGTTCTTCAGAAACTTCTAATTTACAGTTCATGAACTTGTTTCCAGTTATCAAGCAGATTCTTAGAGGGGGGACACATATGTACATATGAGTCGACCCACTCATAGAAACCCTATTCTTATAAGGGTGACACCTCCGTAGGTGTAGAGGTGCGGTGCCCTTAAAATTTTATCATGGTATATAATTTTGATGTAAAATGTTATTAGGATTATCTCAAAATCTATTTCTATATGTAGTTGTAAAATTTTAAATTTCAAAAAATAGTTAAAATCAAGTGGATCTATAAACATACAAAAATCTTGAAAATGGACGGTGTAGATAATATATTGGAAAATTCTCTATTTTTGAGATTTAAATTTTTTTTATTTTTCATAGTTATACATCTCAATGTCCAAATGATCAATCAAAGGGTTTTTCAACGTTAAAACAACATTTTCAGATGGATTTTTTAAGGCCATCCGTAGTTCTACATTATAAGGCAGCATCCTTATATAAACTTTTTCATTCTTATAAAAATGCCATCAGTGCAAATTGCTTTGCCTTTTCAAAATGGGTACACTGCAAGGGTGTGTACCAAGTATCCATTATCACACTGCAGGGTGTGTACGAATGGTGGATATCACCTGATATCGTTTACACATAGAAAAAGGTTGATATCACGTGATGTACCTTATAAACCATTTTTATAGTTTCCTCTATTTGTAATCAAGAGTGGATTAAGCGAAAATGTACAAAAAGACCATTTATATTTGGTTAATGGAGCTCATGAAATTGGGTAGCTGTGTTTGTTCCATTGACTAAGCTTAAAGCGCAAAAAAAATTATTTTAAATTTGAAAAGAAAATTATATAAGGGCGAGGTCTGAAAAAATCAAATAAAGGCGTCCCTCAAAATTTCCACTAGAAGAGGATGTTTTGATGCTCAAAAATTTTCAAATCGATCATCTCGACCTTAAGATGTATAGGCATGAAAAAAAAAAGGATTTCAAGCTTAGAAAATAGTGCATTTTGTAACATATTTTCTAAACTATCAATTTCAAGATTTTTAATTATTCATAAATCTGGTCAATCTACACTATTTTTAAAGCTTTAAATTTAGAATTAGAGATGAAAATTAAATTTTCAGGCCATCACAAAGATTTTCAATACTGAAACAACATCTATCGATACTATTTGTAGGTGAGCCTTACTTTGATTATCTACCGCCTCGGCCTTATACAAACCATGCCCTTTAAAAAATAAATGACTTTTTACCATGTCCTTTAAATTTTATGGCACTTTCAAACTATCAGATTTCATACATGATGGTTATAGTTAATTCTTTGAGTGCTCTATGTACCGAAAGTAAATAGTTTTGTAATACGCAACCCTATAGAATAATAAAGGATGAAGTTTCTATAAGGATTGGGCTTTATGAAAATCAAATAAAGCCTCACCTCATATCTTCATTTGGAATGCGTTTTCAGTAATGAAAATTTCTATGATGGCTCTAAAATCAATTTCCAATACTAACAATAAAATTTGAAGTACTAAAGTTCTTGTGGATCTTTTAACACTTAATCTTAGGGAGAAATGGACGGTCTAGAAAATTTTGTTAAAATATACACTTTATTTAGACTTCGAAATCCTAATTTTTTTAAACAACCATAACGTTCATGTCGAGATGATCAATGTAGAGGTTTTCCCATGCTTAAATTATAATTTTCGATGAGTTATTAGATGAGGCTTTACTTATTTTGATAGCGCTGCAGCCCTACCAAATCATTTTTCAATAATAAAAGTGTTTATTATGCTCATAATTCGGCGTATAGTAGAATGCTAAGCATCAGCCGTCCGTGACGCATATTAAATGGTTGAAATTTGCTCAAATGAGCTTGTTGTGGATCACCAATGGCGTGTGTACCATTTGACATTCAATCTCCACCACCCACACCTGTTCAATGGTGGATGCTCCTAACCAGTGAGCACGCACCCTTGTAAGTGTAGTTTGCTTATTTGCTCTACCCGAATATAATGATAAGGGATTGTATACCACATAGACCATTTGCATAGTTTGGAGTTTATTGCAAAATTGGTGATTTTTTTTTTTAAACACTGACTACAATCATTTTTTTTAGAGCCACCATATTTGAAATCTGACGAATGAAATCCATTGTGACCTCTTTGTAATACAAGTAAATAATTTATTTATATTTTTTAAACAAAATTATTTTATTTGTTTGTTAGGTTGTAGGGATTACATTCCCAAATTTTAGGTTAAGTACCTTGGGTGTTACCAGAGGGAGCAAATGAACATTATGCTCCAGCAAGAGTCGAAAATCTTTTGACAATCCAATAAAGAAAACATTTATATATGTGGGAGGCTCTGAACAATTAAATTCGGGTGTACTTCAAAAATTTCACCTTGTTTTGATGCCCAAATATATCCACAAATTAATCATCTCAACCTCAAGATGCATGAATACGAGAAAAAAAATGGATTTTAAGTTTTAGAAATAGTGCATTTGTTTTGGACCGTCAATTTTAAAGATTTTCAAGTTTTCATTGATTTACTCGAATCTACACTATTTTTTAAACTTTAAAGTTTATAATTAAAAATTACGATTTTCAAGTTTTCGTAGATTTAATGGAATCTACACTTTTTACTATTTTTTAAGCTTTAAATTTTAGGAGGCGGTTTCAATAAGTGCAATCCAATTAAAGCGCACCTCCAAATTTTATTATAACATGTAATTTTGGTGTAAATTTTTTAGGATTATCTAAAAATGTATTTTCATATCTAATTATAAAACTTTAAACTCTAAAAATAGTTAAAATCATGCATATCTATAAACGTATGAAAATCTTGCAAATAGACGGTCTAAATAATGTGTGAAAATCTTGAAAATGGACAGTCTAGATAATGTGTTGCAAGATGCACTATTTTGACGACTCAAAATCATTTTTTTTAACACAATCATACATCTCGTTGTCGAGATGATCAATTTGAGGGTCTTTCAACATTAAAACAACCTTTTTCGATAGATTTTCGAAGTGTATATGTACTTTGCATTTTAAAATTACAACCTTATATAAACTTTTCCCTAACGTTTATAAATAAAAATTAAAATATATTTTAAAGTATCAAACCGCACCCATCGAATCAGCTCTAACGAGTAACAAGGGGCCCAAAAAGCTAACGAGTAACGAGTCCCCAAAACCCTAGTTATCTGCAACTCGTGAGAGCCAAAAGCCCCCGAAAAGAAAGAACCCCACGAACCAGAGACCTAGAAAACCCTAGTTTTGTGAAGTAACTGGGTCACAATGAAACCAGTAGTGGGCATGGTGGTCTCTAACAAAATGCAGAAATCAGTGGTCGTAGCAGTGGATCGATTGTTCCATCACAAGGTCTACAATCGTTATGTGAAGAGAACGAGCAAATTCATGGCTCATGATGAGAACAACGAGTGTAACATGGGCGATCGAGTAAGTCGCTTAGTTTGCAGTTGCATGAGCTCTAAACCTTTTCCTTTCCCTTTTTTGGTTTTAAGCTTTTTATTTATTTTTATTTTTTATTTTTTTTAACCCATTTGGTTCTCATGGGAACTTATTGTTTTGATCTCGCATATCTGGGGATTATATGGGTTGTCTGATATTATTTCTATGGATTTGAATCTAAAACAGGTAAAGTAGTCTCAGTCCCCTTTTGGCCCATCATTTACTCATTGAATTTGATGATCTGTATTCTGAATGTTTCATTGTCTCAATAATCTGGAATCAATTTTGAAGATTGTATAGACTTGGTGGGATTTTAATTCTAATCTTACCGTAGTCTTTTAACATTGCAATTGAATAGGAAATGGTTATATAAATTGTGGTCGATCTTGTGTAGTAGTATGAAACTGTATTTCTTGTGCTCAATCAGTTGTGGTGGATTGTCCCAATCTTTAATCCTTGCAATTGGCTAAGGTGCATTGAGGCTAGGCCTAACTAGAAAAAAAAATAAAAAAATCTCTGTTCATTTCTATTTTGTCTAACTACCGTAGTCTTTTAACAGTGTGATTGAATAGGAAATGGTTATTAAATTGTGCTCTGTGTTCCATTATGTTTAAGTTCAGATGATTTATTTATCATCTCTTGTTTTTTATTTCTATGAATTTTGAGTGTTCGTGAGGAATATAGATGGACCATCTTGTGTAGAAGTATGAAACTGTATTTCTTGTGCTCAATCAGCTGTAGTGGATTGTTCCAATCTTTAACCCTTTCTATTTGCTAATGTGCATTGAGCCTTAAGTCTAACTGAAAAAAAAAAATCTCTGTTTGTTTCTATTTTGTCTAACTTGGTTCTTGACTTGATTTTACAGTTCGTCCGTTTATCATATGACAGTGGGATGCTTTGCTTTTGATGTTGATCGACTGGGACATCAACCTCAATGATGCCTAAAGATACAAAAACGACATCAGAAATCTCCATTCCTTCAAACAACAGTTTTACTTCAACTCATTTAGCACTTTCAAAGCCAAACTTATATTCCAATATATTTCTTTCCTCCCAAATTTGCTAACTAGTTGCTGAAGAGATTGCCCATCAGATTGCTGAGTTCCATGTGTTTTGACAGATTGATAAATAGCTCCATTTGTTTTGACACATTTATGAAAAAAGAGAAGGTATCATCCCATGATCCCATCAACTTTGAATAATGTTATTAAACCCAGCCCCTTCCTCCCTCATATAATTAGAATCAATGTTTAGGGACTCACCTCGGCCGAAGTGTGTTACCTAGCTGAGTCCAAGAGGACTCTGCCATGTCTTGTACAAGGCCAAAGCTCTAGATAAATAAATAAGTAAAAGAAAAATTTGAAAAACAATAAAAGAAAGGTCCTAGAAGTAAAATGAAACCATAAGCAAATAGAAAAAATGGATTAAAAAAATCTCTGTTTGTTTCTATTTTGTCTAACTTGGTTCTCGATTTGATTTTACAGTTCGTCCGTTTATCATATGGCAGTGGGATGCTTTGCTTTTGATATTGATCGACTAGGACATCAACCTCAATGATGCCTAAAGATACAAAAACGACATCAGAAATCTCCATTCCTTCAAACAACACTTTTACTTCATTTAGCACTTTCAAAGCCAAACTTATATTCCAATATATTTCTTTCCTCCCAAATTCGCTAACTAGTTGCTGAAGAGATTGCCCATCAGATTGCTGAGTTCCATGTGTTTTGACAGATTGATAAGTAGCTCCATTTGTTTTGACACATTTATGAAAAAAGAGAAGGTATTATTCCATGATCCCATCAACTTTGAATAATGTTATTAAACCGAGCCGCTTCCTCCCTCATATAATTAATATAATTAGAATCAATGTTTAGGGACTCACCTAGGCCGAAGTGTGTTACTTAGCTGAGTCCAAGTGGACTCTGCCATGTCTTGTACAAGGCCAAAGCTCTAGATAAATAGATAAGTAAAAGAAAAATTTGAAAAACAATAAAAGAAAGGTCCTAGTAGTAAAATGAAACCATAAGCAATAGGTGGGGACATTTCAAGAAATCCAAAAAAAAAGAAGAAGAGGAAAATATAGAAATAAAGATTAAAGTAAAAAAAAAACACATACACACACCAATCTTTGCCAAAAACAATCAAATCATATGCCAAAAATTTATAGAACAATTCCACTTTTTTTTTTACAATTGTTAATTTTATTTTTATTTTAAAATTTTTTGATGTACTGCAAGTGGTATACATAATGCAGGGTAACTCGGCCTCCCCATAGGCCGAGTTCATGGATGAGGCAAGTTACTCACTCGAGTGGAGTGGACTCGGGCGAGTCCTGTAACATCAATAGATGGTCCAGTATTTCTTATCCTTCTCTGCGCACAACACACATGTTGACAAATGCTGTACCTCTGTGCTGAAGATGAAAAATAACAGTAGCAAGAAAGGATATTCATGTTTTAATCATTCTCAATCATGATTATTAGTTCATTATCTAGAGGGTTTGTCTTATGTATTGAATATTGAATGAAGGCGAACTCTGAGTTGGAGTGTATTTCGTAATTATGAGGCAGATATGAGTTGGTGAAACTCCAAAGCAATTTTTATGCAAAATGCTACTCTATTACTATTTTTCCTCTAATATTTACAATACTACTGTCTTTGACTTCATTTTCTTCTTCACTATTTTTTACTGGATCTTCTGCTATTAAACAGTGATATCTGTTTCTTCGTTTTCTCTTAAGGAATAAATGAATGAAATCAGGATGATAGTTTGACTTTTAGAAGAAAGACTCATTTCTATGTGGTCAACCAAAAGAAGAAAAGGGTAAGAAGAAAGCGGCAACAAAATGGGCTTAGGAACAAAGCGAAAGAAAATGGCATGTTGCTAATCTATTAAAAAAAAGGGCTTTTTCCCTTCTTTTTTCTTACTGGAATTGGTGCATTTGTAAACATATGGTTGTTACAGGTAATTATGCTATTAAAAAATATTGATGCTGAAAAAAAAAATGTAAGTTTGTAACAGATGGAGTTTTTTTCAGGTGAGGTTGGACCCCTCAAGACCTTTGAGCAAACATAAACATTGGGTTGTTGCTGAAATATTGAAGAAGGCTCGCATATATGTGCCTCCTACACAAGTGGCCTCTAATGCTTCTACGACAGCTATGGGTTCTCCTTCACAAGTGGCCTCTGATGCCTCTACAACAGCTATGGGTTCAGTTAGCAAAACTGAAACACCCCTTTCAATGCCCTCTCAAGGTTAGCTTCACTTTCTTACGGTATGCTGATTGTCAATGTGTACATGGCTCAGAGGTTTTAAAATGTAAACCAAGCATCCGAAAGTCTGCAATAGAGGTTGGATGTACCTTTTTAAGGGGGGACTTTGGGCCTGATTTCAATATTCTAACTAATCAACTTGTTGTAGCTTCAAGTTCACTTGTCTATTATATATCAGTATATGTTATTTTTTTCTTCCATTGAGACTCAACATTCATAGAATTCATTCATGACCCTGTGTGATGAGAAACATAGTTATTATCCCGTCTGTTGAATGTTTGGATGTGATGGGGAGACTAACTGGCACTTTCTGTCAGAGACAAAATTGGAAATACCTTAAAATTGATCCCCAAAAGAACTGAATATTTTGCCAAATATTCCTCTCCCACCCCCGCCCCCCTAACTCCAAAAAAAATCTGCACTTGGTAGAAAAGTCTGTGCTTTCGTCTCTGAATCACAGTCCAACTGTATATTTATGTATGTATGGTACGGGTTTGTCCCAAGTTTTTCCTAATAATGGAATCTCCTTTTTTTGTTCTACTAAACTATGTATAATTTGAGGGCAAGCTTTCTAAGAAAATATAATGAAAAGGATATTCTACTTCAGTGAAATGGATTATAGACAGCCTTGTCCATTGATGTCACCACCATCAATGAAAAGATGAACAGTGATAGCTATAGAGTGGGATCACCCACCAGGGTTTTCCTGTTCTGGTGTGTCACTCTCTGACCACTATTCTCCATTTTCTGATTGAATGTGGATGACCTCGGTGGATTTTGGTTTTCTACAGCCCATTCAATTGTCGTATACCTTTCCCATCAAAAGAAAACCAAGTCAAACCCAACATAAGTAGGCTACTAGAGTGGCTATCTTAGAAATATGATTGGTTTGAACCCAATACCAGGCCTTGCCCCCACAACCACAACAGCAATATGGAGAAAGCCCCCCATCGGAATACTAAAGCTAAATGTAGATGGGGCTAGCTCGGGCAATCCTGGAAGGGCAGGAGGTGGAGGTATTCTGCGAAATCATCAAGGAAAATGGTTAATAGCGTTTGCCTCTCACTATGGCACTACTACAAATGTTGCAGCTGAATTTCGTGCTCTATATGAGGGAGTTAAACTATGCAAAGAAGAAGGTTACAAGAAAATAATTCTTGAGAGTGATTCTATGATGTTAGTGGATGTGATTACTCATAAAATGGTGGTTCCATGGCAAGTCTGGACATGGTGGGAATCTTTTTGGATGCTGGTTGAAAACTACGAATGGTCCATAACCCATACATTGAGGGAGGGCAATTCAGCAGCTGATTTCCTTGCTTCCATGGGAAAAAACAGCCTTACCAGTGTAGTTTTCAGGCAAGGCTCAAACCCGATTCCTGAGGAATTGGTTGAGCTGGTCCACAAAGATAGCCTCGCCCTTCCGGATTCTATACTTGAGACTGGTAACGATGAGGAAACCGGCTAAATGTAACTGGACATTGTGCTTTACTTTGGGATGGGTTGTATGTTAAGAGTTTGTACTTTCAAATTCCCTAAATTTGAGATTTCCAATCAAGCATATTTGGCGTTGTACTTGTTTGGGGTAGGGTGGTCACTTAAAGAGTTTGTAATTTTGAGCGGCAGTAAAGATGAAGGAACCCAAATCTATAATGACACTTACTAATTTTTGGGAGGGTTTGTTTCTGTTTGTTCTATTGTTGGTTTGGTTAATGCTCTTAGGCAAATTCCCATTTTAAAATTGCCCATTAATACGATACAATTTAACAAAGGGTCAGTTTTTGGTATGGGCCTGGCCACAGCAAAACCCTGTCTGCCCCCCTTTTCAGTTTTTATTCATTAAAAGATGGACTCAGGACCCAAAGTTTAATAGATTTATCCTCCAGTTCTGCAGATCAAAATCCTGAAAAATTTTCGTTTTAGAGCTCTAAAATTTACACAAACTTAGGAGCTTGGTTTTGCAGGTGCTCAGGATGGGTTATGGGTCCTCAATTCATGGAAAATGTGGGTTTTTGTTCTGGGGAAGTTTGGTGACCCGTTAATCAAATTTTAAAATTATTTCGTGTTATTTTAAAAACTCTAGAAAATAGTTTGGCTTATTAACTGGCCCGAGTCTTGACACCTGGAACATTGAGGTGGATTGGCGTTCCCTTGGACCGGAGCTCCATTGGACGGATTGGCAATCCGCCGAATCTTTCCAAAATTGGTTAAAATTAATAAAATAATATTATTAGGGAACTGGATTGCCTATCTATTGAGTATGATCCAGTTGGGATAGTGTTTTGAAATATTTGGCTGTTGGGTGAGTTTCTATCAAAATGCAATTGAACAAACTAATTGAGCACAAACTATTTCATTTCTAGCCAATGTTAAACCTGATTTTTCAGATGTTTAGATTCTTGCTTTTAAATGTGAAATAGTTGGGAATGGGGCTGTGTAGCGAGCTTCAACCACCGGTCTAAGTTTTTATTCCCACCAACGCATTAAAAAATCACTAATTACTTATAAAATGAAAAATGGGTGTAGGCATGATTTTCCTTCTAACCAAACCAAAAAAATAAATAAATATATAGAATACTTTACTATGTTATGCCTCTCTCTAGAAACTTTCTATGTTTTTCTAACCTTAAAAAAATTTAAATTTGAATTTTTCATGGGAACGGCATCTCATCCACCATTCGCCAAGCGTCCAATTCTCGATCTCCATTCTCCAAACATATCAAATTTTTTTAATTTAAATAAAGTCAACTAAACCCCTGATAAATTGCAGCTGATTTTTATTGCCAAATGGCAATACAATTGGTCACGTGCCTTTCTCTTGTGAACTATTTGTCACGTGCCATTTCTTTTGAGCTCTTATGATTGATGACTTATCCATACGAGATAAGAATGCCATGGGCCATGGCCATTAGTATCACGGGACCCCATTCTTTTGCCATGTGTCACTTCATCTTGACTCTTCAAATAAATGGCCTCGATTGATATGCGCCCTTTCCCTTTCAAAGGATAATGCGCCACCTCTCACCAAAATCTTCTTACTGTTTTTAAATTGGGAAGCAACCTCAGTCCAGAACACAATTGACACACAGAGTTAGAGACTGTAGTTCACCATTTAGAGAGAGAGAGAGAGAGAGAGAGAGAGCGCTACAACTCTTACATATTTGTTGGTCTATACTTTCTTATTTGTGTGTATGAGAGAGAAAGACAGATCTTATTAGAGAGAGTGCAACTCTTGCTGTTAGTCTGTAGTTTCCTGTTTTCTCCCGCAACCCAATTTCGAGAATTTTCACTTTTCGGTTCAAAATCATTGGAATTTCGATTTTTGCGGCTAGTATCTGATAAAGATGGCCAAGAACAAAGTCGCCGGGAAGTGCAATTTCCATAAGAAGTCAGTTTTTAGGGGAATAAGGATGAGGAAATGGGGCAAATGGGTATCGGAAATTCGAATGCCGAAGAGCCAATTGAGGATATGGCTTGGTTCTTATGATTCTCCAGAAAAGGCAGCCAGGGCATATGATGCTGCCCTTTATTGCCTCAGGGGCTCTAATTGCCACTTCAATTTTCCGGGGGACAAAAGACCGAACCTACCCTTGAACTTCTCACCTTCCATTTTAGATATCAAGGCGATAGCTGCGAGGTCTGCCTCGCCCGAAAATTTTACAGCAGAAAAAAAACAAAAAATGGCCTCAAATTTATCTTCTTCGGAGTCCGAGCAGGTCTCTCCCTCTCTCTCTTCTACATCGGAGGTCTCCGAATCAATGGAATCCTCATTTTCCAGTGACAGAGACTTGTTTCGAATTAGTTTCCCCAGGAAGGATCTGCTTGAAAATGTTGAATGTGAAGACTCATTCATGGATGAGATGAAGATTTTACTGGATTTCTGATTATTAGGTCTTAGAAGTTGTTCGTGATAGAGCACTTTATTATGCATAATCAAATATATAAATTACTGCACATATATGGAAATTGTATCTTTGTATGGTCAGGGGATCACATACAAGTAGCTTAGAAACAGTAAGTTACATGCTTCCGCAACCATGCATCCTCAAGAATGGACGATCGATAGAAGATGTTGGTCATGTCAACCGTTTGATGTTGAATGCGATGGTCAGTGATGCATGTAACAATGTATGCTTCTCCATTTGTTTATAGTCTATAATACTATTTGTATGTACTTTATTATGACTAGAAATTACCATTTGTATGTACTTTATTAACTTGAATGGTTTGGACTATGGACAAATTTCGAAAGTTCATACTTTGGTCTCTCGTCCAAACCGATATGTCTACTACTAAATCGAAGCTTGAGAACCCTTAGCTTCATCCTCGTAATGTGGTGATTTGAAGCCTTGAATGATGCAAATAGTAATAAAGAGCTAGTTAACTTGTTCAGGCATAAACTTAGTATGTTTAGGCTAGTGATTTAAAAAATGGCAAGTCAGCACGGAAGCGCTTGGCTCGACGTGGGAATCGTCATTTTGGTTCTACCTGTATATAAGAAAACGACCGGGTCTAGAAAGGAACTTGTGGTTCTGCACAGGAAAATGACGATTTTCTATAGTAAAACAACGATCTGGACTGTTGATTCATCGATCCATACTGTTTTTTGCTAGTTCACTATTTTTTCAAGTATTTTTTTACTGGTTCACTTTTTTCAGCATAGTAAAACAACAATCTGGACCGATTTTTTTGAGATCCGAGTGAACAATAAATTTCTTAAATCACTTAAATCACTGGTTTAGGCTGAAGCCTCTTTCATCCAAACTTCACCCAAATTGACAGATTTACCGAGGTAAACCCAAAAGACAATTTTGTTCATCCAAATGTCACCCAAACCAACATATTCGTCCGAATTTCACCCAAACCGACATAATTACTACTGAAGATATAAACCTAACACAAAAGGTCGTTAAATAAATTAGCATGTATATGGTATGCTCCATTCCAAACACTCTCCAGCAAAAGAGCTACTCGAGATTTTGTTTTTTCTTTTGACATTTTGGTGCACATCGTAAAATACCGGACCAAATTTTTAAATTACAAAGAGTTCTTAAACAATGTGCTTAAAATCGGATGGTCTCTATTTAACATTGGAAAATGGTTTGATAGGCCTGTAAAATAAGTAAAGCCTCACTCCTTAAAAAAAAACAAAGTAAGTCTGTGGGGATTTGATCCCCACCTTCGGGTGAGAATAGAGCTAGGGACTTCATCATAGAGCAAATCCCCACCATTGGGTGAGAATAAAATTAAGGACTTCATCATAGAGCTTGTTGGTACTACCGCCAAGGCCCCAACTCACTCTGGAAAGCCTCACCTCTTAACTCGTTGGAAATTGCAATTCAAGCGTTCGAAAAACCTTCACATCAATCATCTCAACTTGAACATTATGGTTGTGAAAAAAACTAAAATTTCAAGCTCTAAAAATAGCATATACTATAACAAATTATCTAGACCATCTATTTCGCCTGAAAAATAAGTGTTCACACATCCGCAAAATCTATACTATTTTGAGTTCTAAATTTTTATCATTGGTGTTAAAAATTAATCATAAAGCCATTTTGAAGATTTCATTTGAGGCTTTATTTTGTTTTCATAAAGCCTAGCCTAGGCCTTTAGAAACCTCATCCTTTAATATTAGTGTTTTTTTAGGCAATTTCAATAGTAAGATTTTTCATTTAAGCACACTAAAAGGGCATAAAAAATACATCATGTTTCTTCAAAATTTAGGGTCGTTAAAATACTCTCATGTTCTCCTCGAGGTAGAGCAAGCGAATTATATAATCCGTTGGCAAAATAAAATGCACCAAGGCAAAATAGAGATGTAAAATGCATGTGGTATCCCATTTGGGGAATATTATGGAAACATACATTTCCTGTAAGAAGCGTAATAGATGAGCAAGTCAATCCGATATCACAAATTTTAACATAAAAAAGAACAATAATAAGAAATTTTGAGTTCTTAAACATTTAGGCCTGAAAATTGGATGGACAAAAAAGAACGGATTTAAATAACCTTTGTTCAATACTAGGACTTCATTTGTTCTGTTGCACTTAGAGCGGAAGAAATTCTTCTTTCTGAAAGTTGGTTATTTGTTTGAGGAAGTTACATCCCAAAATTTGGGGTCCTATCGAATCCATGTCAGAGAAAGCAAACTTTCTCTGGCCGAGTGTTTCATTTCTGGAAGCAGGAGGAGCTGCCACTTCCAGAAATTGTAGCTCTTATCACGTTGATCACGCTATCTTGGAAGCGATGTTTCCCGCACTTCCAAAACAGCGTTTAGATGTGCAAGTGACCGCCTTCCATGGCCCCATGGAAGTGGCCACTTCCCTCCTTCCCAAAATCAAACGCACCCATGAGTATCGTCCTCGAACCTGATATTTAGGAAATTGCATCCACTACTTACAGAGGTATCTTAGATATTTCCCCTGAAAATAATGCCTTAGCATCATCTATCAATACCAATCCCAACCCAACTAAACCCAGGATACTTCTTCAGTCCTCTCTCTCTCATCATCCTCCTCAACCTCTCTGCACCATCCCATTTACCACCGTCGACGTATACATTCGATAACATGGCATAATTTGCAGGGTTTTCTGGTTCTGATTCAATAAGTTGGTCCAAGAGCTTCTCTGCCATCTCAACTCTTCCATGAGTTCTACATGCAAAAACCAAAGAACTCCATACACTTGGACTCGGCTTCACCTTCATATTCTTCACAATTCCACATGCCTCTTCAAGCCTTCCCGATCGACCCAAAAGATCCACTAAGCAAGCATAGTGCTCAGGACCTGGATCAATCTCATAAACCTTGGTCATGGAATCAAATATCTCACATCCTTCTCTCACTAGACCACAATGTCTGCAAGCTGATAAGGCAGAAAGGAAAACAATTAGGTCTGGTTTGAAACCGAGGTTTAGCATCTCATTAAAAACTTGGAGAGCTTCTTTTCCTTGGCCATTCAAACCATAGCCAGTAATCATGGAGCTCCAAGACCTACAATCTCTCTCTAGAATCCCATCAAAGACTCCTCTTGCCGCTTCAATAGAGCCGCATTTAGAATAAAAGCTTATCAGTGAGTTTCTAACAAAGACTGCGGAGACTAAACCAGTTTTCTCGCTATAGCCATGGACCGCTTGTCCCAGTTGCATGGCCGATAGACTGGTGCAAGCTGAAAGAACACCAAGTAGAGTAACTGAATTGGGTCTGGTCCCACTCATCCGCATTTGAGAAAAGAGATCCAAAGCATCAAGACTTCGGCCGTTATTCGAGCAACCATAAATAATTGAGCTCCATAACACAACGTCTCTTTCCTGCTCTACCCCTTTGAAAACCAGATCAGCAAGGTCCACAGCCCCAAAACATGAATACATGTCGATAAGAGCCCCTGTAACCCGAGGATCAGAGGCATAACAATGCCTTATGGCAAATCCATGAATCTCCTTTCCCTGTTTTACAGCCCTTAATTCAGCACAGGCAGGTAAAGCTGTGATCAAAGTCACTCTGTTTGGTTTCATCCCTTCAACCTGCAAAAGCCGGAGTAGATCAAGAGAGAGAGCAGGATCTCCATTGCGTGCAAATCCTGAGATCATAACGGTCCAGGAAACTTCATTTCTCTCACGCATCCTTTTGAATAACTCATAAGCTGATCTTAAGTTACAACACTTTGAATACATGTCCATCAGGGCAGTTTCCAGAGAGAGAGAGGTGTCTAATTCATGCCGAATACTATAAGCATGGATCTCTCTACCCAATTCAAGGAAACCAATTTGTGCAGAAACCAGAAGAAGGCTAACCATAATACCAGAAGTGGGTTTAAGCCCATAATAGGCTTGAAACCTCTTAAATATGTCCAATGCTTCAGCCCCATAACTATTCTGAGCAAACCCAGCCACTAAAGAGCACATTGTTGCTCTGTTTGGCTCCATATCTGATCCTTCCATGAGTTTGAAAAGTTGCAGAGCTTTGGTGCAGTTTCCATTTCGAGTGTGACATGAAATCATGGCATTCCATGAGACAATATCTCCCTTTGACATGGCATTGAACATGAGTGATGCAGCCTCTACGTCACTGCATTTTGCGTACATCGTCAAAAGAGAGTTCTGGGTAATGGTGTCAAACTCGTGACCCATTTTGATAACCTGGCAATGGATTTGACGGCCAAGTTGCAGGGCCTGCAAAGCACTGCAAGCTTTAAGAATGGAGGGAAGAATGAAGTCATTTCCAATAACACTGGAACAGTGAAGCTTCTGAAACAGTTTGAGGGTCTCATCAAAGAATCCATTAGCAACCAACCCTTTAACTTTTAGAATATAGTCAGTAAGGTCTGCACTTTTGTCTAGGGACGAGACTGAGTAGAGGACGTTCCTGAAACTGATAGATACAATAAAAATTAAATTTACCAAAAACTTTAATAAATACATATGCCAAAGATCACGCTAAAATTACCAAAAATGAACCTTTCTTCTACACAGTAAGGATACTTCAATTTTTGACAGAAGCTATATTGTCTTGGATATAGTGATGATTTCCTATAGCAGCTGTATTTGTGAATTGCTTGCTAGTTTAGCCTTTGGGCAATTCACCATTTATTTTATTTTTTTCCCCAAAAGGCAATACATCATTTAAGATTAACTGTTAAAACTTTTTTAAATTGTAACTGTTATATTGTGCCAAACATCCATTCGACCATCTACTTCATCGGGACACTGAAAGCTTATACATGTAATTAAAGCCCTTAATCACTCCACAAGCATTTGGAGAAAACAACACCGCTTGATGAGAAAAACCAATTCAAAAGCCCCTTTGATAGAAAATTCTACTCTTTTGAAACTTGATACATAACAAATCAACCAGAAATGAACAACACATCTCCAAAGTCACAAATCTCCAAAGTCCAAACCTACTATCCTACTTGATACACAAATGACAAAACAAATGACCTACCATATGCCTTTACAAAATCACCATGTTACAATCAACAATATCTGCCACTTCTATTTACTGTTCAAATTATTAGTCTTCCCAAGACCTAGGATGCGAAACTGTTCCATCCCCTCTTATAGTTGGAAAATAAGTAGTTAACATGAACTACCATTTGAGCTTACTTGCATTTGCAACTAGTTAGCATAAATAAATACACATAATGGCAATCATTGACTTTGAAAACTTACAAAAAAGAAAAGGAATTATTGAATTTGAAATTCAATATATAAATACGATGTCTAATGAGTAGTTAACATGCATAACCATTTGCTTTACTTGCACTTACTACATAAAATCACTGACTTTGAAATTCACCTGTATTATTAAAAATGAATATCAATAATTTGGGATCAGAATAATCACAACTATTGGCACAGCCAGTCATTGTGGATCACCCAAAGAATCACACAGTTTGCACAATACGCTTGGTCTTGAGAGAAATCCCACAACATGCTCATAAAAGATTGCCAACACTGTCTCACGTTTTGTCTTTTTATCTAAGGAAATTGCCATCATAGTGATCACAAAAGAAAAGTCAAAAAAACAAAAATCTCTCACTTAAAAACAAAAACTGAACCTTATTCTTCAGGGGAAAAAAATGAAAGAAAGAGAAGAGATAAAGTGAATCATGGTAAAATAACAACCAGTATGGCCCAACTTAATCTTTTTTATTTAATTGTTCGTTCATTTAAATAAATAAGACATCGGGTCCATCAATATTTGTATTCTTCTCACGGAAGAAAGAGAGGTAGGCAAACCACCTCCCAATTTCCAGAAAAGGAATATATCACTGTTGCATTCTGTGAATAGGCAACTCCCTAATAATGCATAGAAGCTAAGGGACTACCTCAGATGGAATGCTTCATAAAGCTTACCACAACCCAAACTCATTTCAACATGCAATAGACCAACAAGTCAATTACAAAAAAAAAGGATAAATATAAGAATTGACAAAAATTCACAAATTTACAGGCTACTGCATCAAACACCTTGAAGACGACTAAAACAGTATCTGGCGCATCGGTGATATACTAGAAAATTGTCACATAATTTCCTTCATAAACAATGCAGACCACCGAGACATGAGGACCACATTAAAAAGTAAAAACACATTTCCTACTTTATCATTTCGAATTATTAATACATTTACTTAAATATGAAAAGACATAAGAGCCATCACTCCATGTACATTTTCATGGCAGAAGGGAAGTTATGGCAAACAAACCCTCAATTTCCATCAAAAGGAATAAATCACCGTCGCATTCTGTGAATAGGCACCTCCCGTAATGTATAGAAGCTAAAGGACCGCCTCAGATTAAATGCTTCTAAATCCCAAGAACCCAATCCCACTTTGAAATGCATGGAATCACCAAGTGAAGAAAGAAAGCAAAACATCAAAGGGCTGACAAGAAATTACAAGAATCACAGACTGACTAATCAAAAGCTCGAAAATGAATATAATAGTGGGTTTCAGTGAAATAGTAGGCAACTGTCTCACAGTAACAGGAATAAACAACACCAACCTCAAAGACATGAGAACTGTACCAAGAACAGACTTTCCTGGACATCAAATCTAATCTTACATTTTCATGGCATTGCCCACAAACAAAGTCTAAATTTTCACTGGATTCTTGACCAAAGAAGCCAGCAAATCATTCCTTGAAAAAAAATAAAAAATGGAACAGAAAAGCCAGCAAATAATAGGTGTTTAATTATGACATAGATGATATGAGAATAAAAAAAATTGCATTGGCGCTATTCGATGAAATGCACATTTCACAATTATAGGAAACAAGATCTCCATACATTAAAAAAAATTGAATAGTTTGAAGCAAATGTGTTAGTGGGCAGATAAGAAGTTTGTCAAAAGGCTACCCGTTTAAAGGATTCCCAAAAATTACACAAAATGAGATATCCATAATTGAAAATAAAGAAACAATAATACAAAAAGGTTGGGGGTTCTTTAAAACGAAAAAGAATAACGGACAAAGACAGACAAATTAAATACAACACTTTAAAAATTTATCAAACAACCCATAATACAACATAACAAACAATACCAAAATACAAAGTTTCCACTGAATTTATCATATATCCATTCTTTTTATCTGATTAGTGTAACACTTCCTTCTGTAGTTTAAATAAAACGGGGAAAAACCAAGGAC